GGAACATTCCGCGCATTGGCGGTCAGCTGGAATGCTGGACAGGGGGGGCAAACGGACGCGTGCGCCCCGCGGCGCGCGGACAAGCGTAGGTGCTTGCAGGCGCGAGGCCGTCCGGCGACGCATGAGCGTGCAGGGCGCCGGCTGGCAGAGGTTTTGCGTTTGGAGCTTCGACAGAGGTGCGGGTGGGGGTCTGACCTGTCGCCTGCGCTGACGACGCGGCCGGCGAAGAGGCGGCCCCCCGGGTCCAGCAGTGCTGCTATTTCCCGCGCGTAGGCCCTGTCCCCCATTGTGTAGATGTGGAGCTCGTACATGGTGGCCGCCTCCTGAAGGGGGTGCGGTGTGTGCATGTATGTGTGTGTACATTTTCAGTGTGTGCTCTGTGTGTGTGCTTTTAAGTGTCTGTGTGTGTATACTTTTTGTGTGCTTTTTTGAGTGTGTGTGTGTGTGTTTGCGCTCATGCGCAAGTGCTGTTTGGTACAGGGAGCGGTGACCAATGTGCTGAAGTGGCAAAGAACAGGGGGTCATGTCAAAGATGACAGAGCTTGCATGCTGGGGTCGCGGGGCTCATGAAGTGAAGGGGGAGCCGCTCATATTTATTCGGGCCTTGGGGGGTTATGGAGGGACGACGTGGCGGGCAGTCGGCGGCACGCGTTGCGCCTCACGCCGCAACGCGTGGCCGGGTGAAATTTGACTGCTGCGTCTGCAGCATGCGCCAGTTCCAACACGGACCTGCATCTAGCAACCCTCAGCACGAGCGCAGGCTGAGGCATGGCGGCTTTTCCCTTCCACCTCCATCCCACACACGCCTCCCCTCGTCAGCCCCCATAGTCCCCAAGCCCCGCCGCCCGCCCCGCTCCTCACGTTCAAAAACTCTCGAACCCCCGGCCGCAGCTTGGTCCACAGCCGGCAGTGTGACAGGTGGTACAGGAGCGGAGGCCACCAGTGGCCCAGGCTCGGGGGCAGCAGCCGCTTGCCCGCGGCCTCCACCGCGTCGCCGCTGGTCGAGGCCAGCTGCGGCTCGGCGCCGTCGGCGCCCGATGCGCGCGACGATGATGGGGGCGCCGCACCCTGCTCCTCTTCCTGCGCTGCCCGCTGCTGCTGCCCGTCTTTGCCCCCCTCCTCGCCCTCGCCCCCATTCTCACTCGAGCCGCCTTGAGCAACAGCACCCTCTTGCGCAGCCGGCTTTCCCTCGGCCGTCTCCGCCTCCTGCTGCTGCTGCTGCTGCTGCTGTTCCTGCTGCTGCTGCTGCTGCTGCTGCTGCTGCTGCTGCTGCTGCTGCTGCTGCCGCCGCCGTGCCGCGGCCTCCGCCGCCCTCTGTCGCGCCAGAATCTCTGCCAGCAGCGGGCGCTCCGCCTCGCTGACGTCACCCTCCCTCACGCTGTTGAGCAGCGTGTGGTCGAGGTCCAGCACCAGCACCAGGCGGCGGCTCGCCAGCAGGGACGGGATGGCGCTCGCGGTGATGCGGGCGGCCTCCTCGGCGCTGACCTGGCATGGAGGTCACCACGACGGGGCCGACGGGCGGTGGGCGGATGCGGCGAGGTTGGCCGCGGCCTGGGGTAATGATCATGCTAGCTAGCTTTGAGGTGTTGGCTAGGACTACGCAAGGCTGCCTGCGAATGGGTGTGTCGCTGCGGGTGAGGCGTGATCGCCCCACCTCAACGGCCTGCCTCGTGTGCAGGTGCTTGATCCTCATGCTGCTGCCGCCGCCGTTGCCGCCGCCGCCACCGGCCGCACCCCCGGCGCCGCGCGCGGCGGGCCCCGCCACGGCGGCGCTCGCCCACGCGGCGCCCGCTGCGCCGCCCTCGTCGTCGTCTTCGGGCTTTGGCGCGCCGCAGCGGAAGCAAAGGCCGCCCATGTACCCGGGGTGGGGGCACGTATCGCCCACAGCCGCCCCCTGCCCCTTGACAGTTGCCTCGGCTGCTTCTGCGGTCTCCATATCGTCAAGGGCAGCAAAAGGGTCGTCTCCTACATCCTCCTCGTCATCAATACCGTTGCCTCCGCCCTCCTTGTCCTCACCCGCCGCGTCGCCAGAGTCGACGGTAGGGGCTCGTCGCTGCCGCTGCTGCTCGTGCTGCTGCGCCGCGGCAGCGGGCGGATCACCCGGACCATCCTCGTTGCCCTGATCGTCCTCGGAACCAAACAGCTCCGCATCCAACGCGGCGCCCAAGCTGTCCTGGCTCATCTCGATGCCTATCGAGCTGGGAACGGGCGAAATGACACCCCACTGGTGCTAAGGCATGTCGCTCGATGTATTATGTATTGCAACAGTATGTCAAGTCAAAGGCTCGCTCAGGATTTGAATTGGCAGTCGACACGAAGGCGGATCTCAGATCTGGCCCAGGATGGTGTGTATGTATGCGCAGGGCTGTATGCACGACGTCAGATCGGCAGGCTAGTTGATTTGAAGAGGTATTAGTCATGCAGTTTGTGTAGTGTGCAAAAGTACCAGGTACAGGCTGATGACGCCAGGGGTCAGCCTGGAGCTGGCCTGGAGGAGAGATGCGCATTGCTCTGCAACATGAGCAGGCTGGCCACATGGATTTGCGAGCTTGCAGAGTGATTAAGGTGTGTGTAATTGATGTGTGTTACTGTATTGCTTGAGGGGGGGTGTCCAGCACGAGGGGTATGACACGGGAACGGGGGTTGATCGTGATATGCTGTACCGCACCTCCGTATGTCAGTGGGGTATTGAGCACTGCCAAGGCAGCGTGACCCTCTGCACGCCCTGCATTCCTCCTCGACACTGCCACCAAAAGTCGTTCACCAGCCTGAGTAAGAGTATGTCATTGTGCTTTTCAGCTGTGCGGCACACCGCTGTGCGCCAGCTGATTCACTCGTGGAGTCAAACACAGCAACCCTCCTGTGCGATTCCTGCCAGCTGTGCAAATCAAGCCGATGCAGCAGTGGCAACTGCCTGGACCGAGGCTGCTGGCACCCACAGGGGTTCACTGAAGCGACGACATCAACTGTTTGCCCGCACGTTGGCAGCCCTTATGCTGATGTGACACTTGTTGCAAGATAGATAGATAGATAAGTTACTCATACCATAGCATCACTGCCATCGGTCTCGCGCTCATTAGAGCGGACCTCCTCATTCCTAACCTTCCAACGGATCTGCCAGCAAGCATACACATAAGGGGCAACAATATCAGCAAGCACAGAGCCAAGTTGGAGTTGCAAGGTGCCCGGCACAGCACACAAGCTGCTGGGTTAGGCAGCACACCTGCTGTTGACCAGAACCGACGTAGTTCATTGTCACAAGGTTGACTGCGCCAGCAAGGTTGCAGCCCGCCACCCTTGCAGTTCATCAAATTGCCAAGAGCAATTGCTGGCACAATGCGGCGCAAACGGACCCTTGTCGGCCGCTAACGACGGGGGCTTGACTAATGGGTGCGAAATGAGAGTTAGACGGGGCTGCAAGTCAGAACAATGCACACAAGTTTCACAAAGCCACCACCAGCAGAATCACACAAGCCACCCATGCAGTAAGCCTCTGGTGGCCCCCCCTCGCCGGTGCCGATTGTGCACCGAGCTGCGATCCATCAAAGATTCCATCCCTTGCCAGTATGGAACGTATTGGGGCAGGAATCTATTGCTAGCTTGGTTTTACTGGTTAAGGAAGGGGCGGCCACACAGGGGAGGCCTACCTCGCAAAGTGCCCCTCGTACTACGTCACGCGGTCGCCACAGAGACAGCTCTTGCACACCCCCGCGTCAAAGGGCACCAGTCAAGCCCTGAATACGGTAGCCCGCAATTGTGTAGTACAATATATCCCTCGCAATTTGGCCACGGCCTCCTGCACAGCGTGTGACTGCAGCGATCCCAACAAGAGCCAACGACCCGCCAGTATTTGAACTTCGAGATCACAAGTCTTGAGGTCTTCAGGCTTGTTTGAACCACCAAAGCGTTTGACCAGGACGCTAAAATACAGACAGCACAGCAGATATCGCGATGCTTCAGCAGCCAGTGCACACTTCGGCCCGCGGGGCCCGCGGCCCTCAGCGATTTGCCAGGCCGGCGAGCAGCCATGTTCTTCGGCCTATCAGGTGTTCTGTCAACCGACAGGACCAGGGGCTGTGGCTGCCCCCAAGTGTCGCTGCCAGAGACAGCGTACAGACTCGCGCGACGCAGAACCAGCAATACAACCAGGCTACCATCAAGGTGGGATCTCCGTGTGTATGTAGCATATGTGCAGGGCCCAGCGCTGCCACGTGTGGGTCGGCGAGCCAGTCAACCGCACGCAGCGTGATCTGTCCTGTTGCGCAGTTGGCCTGTGCTGTGCTAGGCATGCATGATTGTGGCAGCTCTGACGCCAGCGTTGAGGCCGAGTGCATCATGCGCCGACGCTGTGCTTCTGTCGTGCACCTGTCAATTGGTGGCGCACCGGTCAAACCCTTCCCAGCAGGAATGCATCTCCGCACCCTCAACCCGCACCCTCAACCCAGGTGTTTGGCGTTGGCGGCGGCGGGTCCAATGCGGTCAACCGCATGATGCAGGGCAGCCTGCATGGCGTCGAGCTGTGGATCGCGAACACAGACGCGCAGGCAATCGCGGCATCGCCCGTGGACGCTCGGCGGAAGATCCAGATTGGCGGGCAGCTGACGCGCGGGCTCGGGGCCGGCGGCAACCCGGAAATCGGGACGGTGCGACGAGGCTGGTCATTTGCTGGGCAAACGGGAGTGCGAGTACAAGAGACGTAGCGTGCCGAGGCGCTGGCGTGTGGCTTGCTCACCCCATGCGTGTGCGCACGTCTTGTCAGCACCTCGTTGACCAGTCGGTTGGCCCCAACATAACGGACTCGCAGAAAGCCGCCAACGAGAGCCGCGTAGAGCTGGAGGAGGCACTCGCGGGCGCCGACATGGTGTTTGTCACGGTGAGGTGCCTGGATTAGGGAGCGTGACGTGCAGCGTCCTTTGGCTGGGGAGGGTGCTGCGAGTCGGTGGGGCTCATACTTGCCAACTTGAGCGCTCGTCCTGCCATCGGCGCTGTAGCTAATGCTGCCCCTGGCCCTCGCCCCTCCAGGCCGGCATGGGCGGCGGCACCGGCAGCGGCGCGGCACCTGTGGTGGCGGCGACGGCGCGTGCGATGGGCATCCTGACTGTTGGGTGCGCAACATGACCAGGGTGGCAGGGTCAACTGCCGGCCGGCTGCTGCCAGGAGCCTGCCAAGTCACATTTCGGACACATTGCACACTCGGCTGCGACGCTGCGCCTCTCATGGCTCATATGCCAACCCCCCCCCCTCGCCCCCTTGGCTCACTCATACTGCAGGATTGTGACGGTGCCGTTCACGTTTGAGGGGCGGCAGCGCCTGAACCAGGCTCGCGGGGCGTTGAGCGACCTGCAGGCCAATGTGGACACGCTCATCACAATCCCCAACGACAGGCTGCTGCAGGGTTGGTGCCCCCGCGAACGGGTTAAGGTGTCCATCACGCTCACCCGCACGAACTGCCATCCCTGGCTTGTTGCTGAATCACGCTGAGCATGCATGCACGTCGGTCCCTCTCTGCCTGCCCTGCCGACATGGCTCGCCGTGCCCGCCTGCTACCCTGCCTACCCTCCCCAGCTGTCGACCCCAACCTGCCTCTTGGGGACGCGTTTCGTGTGGCGGACGACGTCCTGCGCAGCGGCGTGCGCGGCATCAGTGACATCATCACAGTGCCCGGGCTGGTTAACGTCGACTTTGCGGATGTGAGCAGAGAGAGGGGGGATTCGGGGAATAGGAAGGACGAGGGGCGGCTGCGGATGGGTGGGCTATGGAGATAGTCAGTTGGCGCGGCAGTGTTGCAATCGAGGCGGGCGTCGCATCGCGGATCAACCACAGTAGTTGCGGGCTGCCGCTTTCAGGCGCATGCAGCGTGCTGCGCCCCCAACAGACACACGCGGACGCACGGTCCTAATGCAATGCGCGCTCCCACGGCGCGCCCCGCCGCACCCCCAGGTGCGCGCCATCATGTCCAACGCGGGCAGCAGCCTCATGGGCCAGGGCTACGCGGGCGGCAAGGACCGCGCGCGCGAGGCCGCGCTGATGGCCACCAGCAGCCCGCTGCTCGAGGTGCGCCTATCCCCCTGCCCCCCTCGCCGCGGTGGGGGGCAGGCGCAGCCGCCCTTCCCACCTGAGAATGCGGTCGGCCATGGCCGGGTTCCGCACCCCGGGGTCCGACGTGCCACAGATCTCTGTGCCGTAGCCCGACCTCCCCCAAGCCCGATGGTTGCGGCGGCGGCCAGTCCCCTTCCGGCCCCCGTGCCATGGCAACCCCACGTGACGCCCTCCCCTGCACCGCGCCGACACTGCATCCCCCCCTCCCTCGCGCCACCCCCAGGTGGGCATTGAGCAGGCGACCGGCATCGTGTACAACATCACGGGGCCCGAGGACATGACGCTCCACGAGGTTAGGGGGGGTAACCACCGCGGGCTGCCCACTCGACAGCAAGCTGCAGCGGCTGCATGCGCTCCTCGCCGTGCTTGCTGCACTTGCGCGGGCGCACGCACACACACACACACATACACGCAAAAACCGACCGCACTAGCTTGTTGCCTCTTTGCACCGTGATCTGGGCCCAGAGCCGGAGTTAACCAGCGACCCTCTGCCCCTCCACGACAACCTCGTCCCCCAGGTCAACGCCGCCGCCGAGATCATCTACGATCTGGTGGACCCCGACGCCAACGTCATATTCGGCGCCGTCGTCGACCCAGCCCTGCAGGACGAGGTGGGGGGCAGCCGCGCCGCAAAGCGCAGCCGCTGCCGTCGCTGGCCGGATGCATGGGCTGCCGGTGGCTGCTGTGCCGCTGATTTTCAGCTGTTGACTTGTCCCACCGCCATGCTGCATGCTCATTCACCATCTTCCATCCTTTGCTGCAGGTCATGATCACCTTGATAGCGACCGGCGTCGGCCCCAAGGGCGCCGCGCCCACCCGCGCCGCACCCGCCGCCGCGGCGGCCGCCCACCGGCAGCCCGAGGCGGCGCACGCAAGCTACACGCCGCGCGAGTCTGCGCCGCCGCCGATGCCCGCGCAGCCGGCATCGAGGTCGGCCGGCGGCGCGATCGGCGGCCCGGCGGGGCTGGTTGGTGGGCGCCCGCGCGGCGGCGCTCAGGCGGGCGCTGTTGAAATTCCGGCTTTCCTGAGGAAGCTGAGGAGGTGAACATCTGATGATGCATGCCTCAGAGAGATCAGAGACGTCCCTGTTTGCTCCCCTTGCCCTTGGCCTGACCCCATTCCTCCACATACGGCCGAGGCGGGCGCGATGTTGTTAGGCAGCTGACCCATCACAAAAAAGTGTGAGAACAAAACGACATACAGGCAGACTCTAGCGCTGGGTGCACTGTGCTTCTTTATTGCCGGTGGCTCTTGCGCGTATGTTTTCAGGAAAGGCCGAAGTACAGCAGCAGCGAGGAGAGCCAGAGCGCGACTTGTTTGGACCCGCTCGCCACCCTTGTAAGCTGGCAACCACTTCCTTCTTGTAGTGTTGCGGTCTTGCAGAGGCCCCGGGCAGGAGCCATCAGCTTTCACAGTCATACTGCCACACACGTTGAAAGTGACTCCTAAGCACCATATAGGGTACCTCCTACGCACAATGCGTCCAGCCCTAGCCAAGCTGTGTGTATTTTCACAACTCTGTGTCGTGATTTGCAAAGGGTGGCCCGTACCAGGGGCGGTCAAGATGCAACCAGCTGAGGGGCAGGTGTTGAAGCGAGAAGCAGCTAGCAGCAGGCTAGCCGCTCGCAACGCACACGCTGCCGGTGACACCTGTGCGGCGGGTGGCTCGCAGGCGAGCCCCTCTACCGCAATGGCATGTTCCCAGCCGCGGCGATGCCAGCAGCCGGCCCCAATATAGATGCGGCGCAACTGCTGTCCGTCCCTCACTAAGCAGCCGCTGCCCATTTCCCACTTCGAGAGCTCTTGCCTTTGTCAGCAGCTGCTGCACGATTGTATCAGTGGCTGCGGCGTGCTCCTCTGTCAGCCGCCGCTGTCTGCTTTTCTGGCAGCCGCTGCTGTCCGTCCTGAACCCCGTGTCAATAGCCGCTGTCCTGGCTGGCGAAGTAGTCGTACACCAGGAACGTGGCGCCCAGCACAAACACCGCGGCCAGCTCCATCAGCAGCGCCCCCGTGGTGATGACCTGGCGCGCCGCGGCGGGGCGCAGGGGCACAGTGTTGGGGCGCCATCGGACCGATGCTCCTGGCCTCAGAGCACTCACAGGGGCACGACGAGCGCCTGCAAGACGGGATCGGTTAGGCGGAGAGCCCGATTGCGAATGCGCAGGCCTGGCTGTCAGGCGGCGCCAGCGGGCTCCGCCGCGCCCACCGGGTGCGCTGTGTGATCAGCATGCCCTATGGCCCCACCTGAGCGTGCGCCAGGATGGCGGGGATCGCGATCGACCCCACCGCGGAGAATCCAGTCAGGAACTTGCCCGCGTCGACCCACCTGCAGCCATCGCCACGGACAAACAGGGGTCAGTGCCGTGGCCGGTCGGGGCGATGATTTGCGTGCTGCGCTGTAGATTGTGTGCCCACACGGCACGGCCGCGAGCCGCCGCCGCCAAAGACCCCGCAGGCAGGGCGCTGTGGCGCAACGCAAACGCGCCGGACAAAAGGGCACCACCCCCAACAAAGATGCACGACGGCCAAATGATACGATAACGCCGGCGCGTCTGGTCTGTCATGGCAGAGGCGCACCCGCTGGCGATGCTGCTGTATCCGTAGGTGTCCGTCCCGCCTCCAAAGAAGAGGTACGGCATCGGCACCAGCACGTACATGATGCCCGTCAGCATGGGCCAGTAGTTGCGGTACAGCACGCAGCCCTGTCAGGTTTCAAGGGGGGACGGGGTGGAGAGGGGGAGGCATGGGTGAGGGTGAGCAACAGGATGGGGTGGTCTGAAAAGGCGCAGGCCCGCAGCTGCCACCAAAGCACGGGGCGCAGCTGGCTGCGAGGGTGCTGCTCACGGGGGCCAGGAGCGGAGGGCCACGCCTGATGAGGGTGGCGGCATTCGGCGCGCGCTCACCAGCAGCTGCAGCAGGACGCCCGTTGAAAACATGAGGGCCAGCACCAAGATTCTGGGAATGAGCATGGGTATGGCAGAAAGAGGAGAGGTGGGGCCGCAGACGCGGGTGGTCATTGTGACGGCCGACGTTTGCTCACTCCAGGGGACGGGCCCCTGGGCGTAGGTCTGCGCCAAGCAGCTCGTCAACTGCACGCAGCGGAGGGCGGCATCCAAGATCCAGGGACCAAAGCAGCATGTGATGCGCGCACAGCGCGCAGCAGGCGCGGCTTTGCATCGCCGGCACCCTCCCCTCACTCACACTGCGGGAGCAGGTCGGCATGCGGCAACGACGCGTGCAGGCACGGGCAAGGGGAGCATGAGGCAGGTGGGTGTGTTGAGGAGGGTGGAGGCGTGATCAGCAGCATTGTGGAAGCGCTGGGGTGCAAAGCAGGCAGTGGCAAGGCATGTGCGCGATCTGCCTTGTAGCCAGTGTCACTGTGTCACTGCACCTGGCGTGCGCCTGTTGTTGCTGCGTGTACCGCAGCCGCGGCTACCTACACCTCACCTCTTGAATCATGAAGCCCCATGACTTGGGTTCTGGTGCTGTGCACAGCCGCGTTGGCTCGCAAGGGCCCCGCCCTCAGCTGGAGCTGTCTCCTGCAGCACCAGCAGTGCCGCGCCCGTTGGCGAGCGGTGTCGGCGCGCCTCCACCTTCGTAGCCCCTCGTTGTGCTGCTGCCAGAGCACACTCGCAATCGCGAGTCCTCAAAGTTTCCGCTCGTCTATCAGGAACCCGTCACAGATCGTTCACTGGTGTTGATGAGTTGAGCTACCGTAGCGTAGAGGTGTGAGAGGCTGGTACGGGTAACATAGATCAAACTAGCTCGGGGAGAAAGGTTCAGTCACCTGGAACAGTTGCGCGGTAATTCCTGCCTTGACGGCCAAGCGGGCACACCCTTGGGTTCGGGCGCCCTCGCTCTGCACCCGCACCCCGCCACAGGACCAGGCCTCCTGTACGCATGGCCCTGGCCATACACGCAAGAACACCTTGGCATTGCTGTGACTTGCAAAAAAAAAACGCTACCTACAGTACCACACCTGGTAACCCACACAGCAAACCTCACTCAAGTAGCTGCTAAGGCATCCTTGGTAGGCCACCGCTCATTACTGGCAGTCATGTCAAGGAGTCTGCATGGAAACTGCAGGCACTGGGCTGCATATACAGCGCTGCATGCTCATGCCGTGTTTAGAATGCCTGCGTCTCGTCCACACCCCTTACTGCAGTACTCTTGCTGGTTTACGACCCCAAACAACCGCTTTTGATCCTCGACCGCCCGCGTTCTGCAGTATTCAACCACCCGCATTCTGCAGCATGCTGCCGTATGCACGGCATTGCAAGAAGATCTATTGCCGCCACGCCACAGCCACCGCCGTGGCAGTTGGGCCCTGCTTTCTCACAGCAGTGGGCTGCAGCCGACAGCCGCTCACATGGCCGCTCACCCTCGACGCCGCACCGCCCCGCAGCCTGCGCCGCTGCCGCCTCCCTTCCAGGCAGACATGGACGGGGAAGGCGGTGGGCTTGACTGGAAGGAAGCGTGAGCAAGGAGACTGGTCTCGTTATGCAAGCCAAGACAATCCAGCCGCCCCCGTTGTTCAGGGGTGGGCGGTTTCCCCACCGAGGGCGATGAACCGCCGCGCGCGTTCATGGCGGATCTTGTATGATACACGTCAAGTGCAGGAATCCCATGTTTCTGATGACGACTGAACATTTTGCTTGGACAGATGGCCCGGCGGCCCTGCACCACACCAGCAGCCCGCCAATGCGCCCAAACAGTGACCAGTGACCGCCAGGCAAGCGTACGTGCCGTGCTTGCCGAGTGCTGCACAGACCCACACCGCGCCGTAGAAAGCCCGCACAAACGCATCGCATGTCAGTTTGATCATTACAATCGCCACGTAATCGCCGTTGCCCGCCCTTGTTGCGACCACCCTCCCGAGGCAGCCAGTGGCGGCAGCAATTGCAAGGAATGAACGATCAGCAGCGCTGCGCGATGGCCTTGGAATAGTTATCGTGGATCCTGGCAGCGTCCCACCGGATGTCCCAGGAGCTCGGCGCGGGGCAGGAGAAGCGCAAGAAGACAAAGGAACTGCTTACAAAAGTAGTCGGTGAGGCATCATCATGTGCATAGCACCCGTCATGCGCAAAGCACTGGCGCCAGCCGAGCCCCGACTGCCCTGCTGACTCTCTGCCCGATCGATGTGCTGCCTTGCTCCTGGCACAGCACGTCTGGAGGAGCAGCTGGAGTATGGGCAACAGCAACTTGGCATCGAGCAGTCCGTCAATGCACGCGCACGGGTGAGTGGCGGCAAGGCCGGCTGCGGGTGTGCCCAACGACGTGTGTTTGGGGCACTCGCAGGGTTGTGCTACGCGCGTGCCAGCCCCCACTGCTCCCCACCTCTGCCCTTCACCCCACCCCCTACCACGCGTTGTGGCGTGCCAGGCGCACGTTGCGGCGCTGCAAGTCATCTTGCTGGCGAGATCCGCGCTCCAGCAGCTGCTGTCCCGTGACGGGGACTGCACCGAGCAGATGCTAGCCTCTCTCGACCTGCAAGCGCAGCTGCTCGGCAGCTGCGCCTGCTGCAGCCCCCGCGCCGGCGGCGCCGGGGCCACGGGCGTGGGAGGCGAGGTGACCTTTGCCCTCGGCAGCAGCAACATTGGCAGCGGCACCCTCGTGCAGAGCAGCAGCGACCCCTCCACCCTGACGCCCCTCGGCCGCCACCTCGCCCCGGGGCTGGCGCTGTGGCCGGCCCCCGCCACCAGCCATGACACCGGCTCGACGGCTGGCGGGCTTGGTGCAGCCACCCTGGGCAGCGTTTGGCAGCCGCACGGTTTTGGTGGCCGGCCGAGCGGAGTCAGCGAGGGCGGGGGCGGGGCGCGCGGCGGCGACCAAGCCGGCAGGGGATCCACCGGGGCTGTTGGGGTCAGCGCCTCTGAGTTTCTCAAGAGGTGGGTGGCCGTCGGCGTTCAGGCGCCCCGCGCGGCGGCCTCGCCCCTTCCAGCTGCAGGCGGCGCCTTGAGGGCGGGGCGGCAGCCGCACATTGCCGTGCTTCGCTCCGACACACCCCTTCCTCGCCCTCCCACAAATACCCCCGTCCGCAGCGTCGTGGCCGCGCGCGGCCTGGATGGCAGCAAGGCCGAGTTCGTGGGCTGGTGGCGCGAGCACGTGATGCGGCTGGCGATGCTGTGCCACCAGCACCGCAACGGCGCGGCCAGCCGCGCGCGGCTCGAGCAGGCGCGCGACCCCACCCGCATGCGGCCCTGCTCTGGCCCTGTCCACTCCTCCCTGCTCCGCCCCCAACCACTGGACCTAGCACGGCACCGTTGCTCGGCCGCCGGGCGGCACACGCCGTCTGTTCCCATTGCCAATTCGGCCTCGCCGCCCTGAGTGCACCTTGCTGTTCAACTGAACCTTCCAACTCCATGCCCGCAGGCCCTGCTGTCTATGGGGTCCCGGCTGTGCGGCTGTCTGGTGTCCCAGCGCTGGGCGCTGGAGCTGTTTGCTACAAACCTGGAAAGCGGCGAAGAGGGGGAGCCGCCGAGCAGCCTGTGGGACCGCGTGGCGACGTGCATGGCCGTAGGCGCGGGCGCGGTGAGCCGGCCGCCCCGTTGTGCGACGCCAACTTGCCTGCGGCGGCGCCCTCGTGGGGCTGCACTGGGTGATTTTTGGGGGGCGTCTTTCGTGGGATGCAATGTTTATTCGGTTTCTCAGGCCCTTGATGAGGCGCACACCACTAGTTTGCGCAAGCACCCACACGCACATGCGCCCCCCGGCCCGCAGGCGACCACCCTGCTGCACCTGAGCGAGTGGTGGCGCCGCGTCACTGCGGCCCTCGCGGCGGAGCACTGCTTGCTGCAGCAGGGGCCGCGCGCCCCCGGGCCCGACCCCAAGACGCTGGCCCACGTGCTCGCGCGGCTGGAGCGCGCACATGGATTGTTTCTAGCCGACGCGATGGCGTTTGCCGTGATCGCACACGCGTCGGCGCTGGCGCCGGAGCAGCTGGCGGAGGCGTACCTCTCAAGCTGGCCCTACCTGCCCTCCCCCTCCTGCCTGCTGGCCGCAGTGTTGGATTCGCTCACGCGCCAGCAGCGCCGCGCGCCTGCGTGACGCGTGCGGTGCGTGGCTTTGCGCGCGTGCGCGTCGTGGCAGTTTTCGCATATTCGGGCGGGCATCTTGATGCATTGCTGAAGGTGCATGGCGGGGCGTGTGTTGTTGGTGTACTGCTGAAGGAAGATGCATGTGATCCCTGTTGGCGCGACTTGGTACCAGTGGGGAAGGGGGGCGTCATGCGCCGCGAGCCTGGCCTATGAGTTTTGTATACTGCATCTTGTCCTGCCCGCCCTTTTCGTGCGGGCGAATAGCCCGGAGCGCGGCATGGGAGCCCCCGGTTGCGGTGGGCGCAGCATGCATGCCGTTCTCTGCCACGCCCTTAGCGCCAGGCCTGAGCGTTGCCCTCTCCGCACACAAGACTGGCGGGCGCCCGACACGGATGTTCTGTGTTGTCATGAAGCACTTGGGCTGGGACGTGAGCCGGAGGCACCAGCGCTGGCGCCTTTAAGACAGCAAAATTGGCTTAGCAGCCGCACTTACTGCATGATCACTTGTCCACTCATAAGCCGTGTTACCGGCGGCCGGCAGCGTAGCCCTCGCACGCCAGCAGGAAGGGGGTAGCGTAGGTCTTCGTGTGACAGCACCCTTGATGCAGTTTTGCTGCACTTGCACTCGCTGAATGAACAGAACGTGGAAGGCCTGCCCTCACTGATGATGCAAGGGGAGCCAAGCACACGTATGCTCCTGTTGATCACTTGGCTTCCTTGTATTGAAGCCTGTCCACATTCATCGTATGATGTGTAACACTTGCGGCACTAGCCTCAGCTGTTGTTGATGTCTACTGTGCTGAAGCGTCGATGAGGTATTTTGATTCCAAGGACTTGGACAGTAGGTTGCACGTCTCTCTGGCCCAGAGAACAAAGGCACGATGGAGGCGGCCAGAGGCAGCCCATGAAACAACAACTGTTGTTGCTGCAAGCAGCTTCCGGGAATCAAGACATCAGTGCTAACCTGGCATAAATCAAAGCACATGCAATAATGAAAGCCATTTGCCTCGCCGCCTGTGCATACTGCACATTTCTGTCCCTCCTGGCATTGCGTCGCGCCTGGCGCCGCCGCCCTCATAACAACAACCACGAATGCTCGTACGGTGCGGCAAAGGGTGGGTTGTAAACGTTCCATAACCTGGGACATACTGCTGCTCGGACGTCGCCCCGTGCTTTCGCAGGTGTGTACAAGTCTGACACGGGGACGCCTAGAAGGGCCTGTGCATGCCCCCAGCTTCCTCGGCTTGCATCGTAAGTCTGCTCCGCTGAGCCCCGCACACACAGCCGTTTGCGCATCCTTCTGACTTCAGCGTACTAACCTGTCTATATATCATGATCTCTTTCAACAAACAAATCTTCCTTCCTGAGATGTGAGCAACAGTAGCTGTTTTTGCAATGTAGAACTGCCCCAGGGCAATGGTCCAGATGGCATGTGACAGTTGATCAGTGGAGTTGACCAACAATCTCAACCATCAGAACTGGCTGCTGCCAGTCCTCAATGTATCTATGACAATAGAATATCTCAGTAGTTCTTGGCATGTTCGAGTGGCGCCTACGAACGACTGCGTCGTTCAGGCAATAGCGTCTTGGGATCTGCCATCGCTGATCCGCAGGCGCCCAATTCAAACGATTTATGATACAAGCTGACGTGATTATTCATGTGACACCTTCCGGTGTACACAGTGTCCGTGATGTCGCACACGTCGGGAATCTCCAATGATGCGCAATCAAATACAGGTAGACAGGCCCCGCGTGCTTCGGCGGATGACATGGTAGGTGAGTTTATTTTTCAAGCAGCCCAGCGCATCCACCGCACATCGACACTGCATGCTGACTCGTGCCGCAAAGGGAAGGGACGCCGGTTCGCAGCCGCGACGCATGCAAATGTCACACCATTGGGGCATGAAACGAACGCACACCCATCCACGTCTCCTTGACAGCGCACCTGGAGGGTGTGCTGCGCATGAGGCGGCAGCAACTGGCGGAAGAGACACAGAAGAATATTCGTGCCAAGGTGGGGCAGAGTACAGTTCCGGCAAGAATGACAGAGGGGCGGACGCACTTTGTAAAGCACATGCCTGACTCGCCCGTGCGACCCTCCCTCAACTTTTCTGGTGGAACTTACAAAACCAGGCCCAGCTGCAGCTGCTCAATGCCTTGGGGCTCGCCGGCGCCACGGTGCACCGCCTGGTGGCAGCCGAGACGCGCGGCGACCCCAGCGCGGGGCCGTCGCAGCCGGAGCTTGACGCGCTCGAGGAGCAGCTGCAGGGCCTTTCCCGATCCCTGGAGGCCGGCTGCAACGACGATGTTGGGGGTGACCGTGGCGACGGCGGCAGCGGCCACGGTGGGGGCCCCGGCTTTGCGATAGGCAATACATGTGCTGAGGGGAGCGCAACATCGCGGCTGCTAGCCCAGGAAGCAGGGGTCCCGGCGGCGCCGCCCCGCGGCGCCCCCGCCGCGGCCGTGGCCCTGCCTGATGGCAGGGGCGCCGGGGGCGCCGGCAGGGGCGCGAGCGCGCCGCTCGGGCTCACGGGCATGGGCGCGAGTGCCGTCAGGTTCCTTAGGGGCATCGTGGCCGCTCGGGGCGTCAACCGCAGCCGGGATGAGTTTCGAGAGTACTGGCGGACCCACGTGCTGGAGCTGTCCTTGCTGGTGCACCAGTACCGCGGCGGCGCGCCCGTGCGCGCACGGCTTGAGCAGGTGCGTGTGCATGTGTGTGAGTCCCCATGTGTGTTGGTGCGAGTGTGTTCGTGTGTAGGGAGTTGGTGTGCGGGGGATCGTGCGTTCGTGCGAGGGCACGCGTGCGCGTGCATGTGCTCATGAGTGATCAAGCACAGGGGAACGCTGTAAGGGCTCAGTGGCCAAAACTGCCCGCTCACAATGCGGTCTCCGCGAACCGCACGGCCCACAGGCAGGGCATGCAATCTTGGGCTGGGATTGGTGGCAACTGTGCAGCAGATGCTGCTCAGGTTTTGCGCCAGAGTTGCCAACCGGTAAAGGCCCCGGGGTCATGCACTATTGTCCCACAGTCAAATCTACTGCAAGGCAAGCTGTGCCAAGGCAATATGTTCTGAGGCATTTCATGCCAAGGCAATTCGTGCCAAGGCAGTTTGTGTGCCCTGCACGATGCCCACTGAACGCTGCCACCCTCCCTGACCTGCCCTCTGTGCGGCGCGGCGCCTGCCCTGTCGAACCCCAGGCCGTGTTTGACATGGGGGTGAGGTTTGGCGCCCTCTTCCTGCACGACAATGCGTGGGCACTCGAGGTGCGCCCCGTTCCTGGTCTCTGGCGGGCGCCTGCGGAAGCTGCAGCCCCGCAGCCCCTTGACCATGCGGCACCCTCACACCCGGATCCCTTCTTCTCGCTCGGCAACAGCCTATTTGCCATTCGGTCGCGCCGTGGTCTGACACCGCCCCTGTTGCCGTCATGCATTGGGCCTGCAGCTGATTGTGATTGACCTGGAGACGGGCGTCCGCTGCGAGCCGCCCCAGAGCCACTGGGACCAGGTGGCGGCCAGCATGGAGCTCACCGAGGACCAGGTGGGGCGAGGTCACTGCTGTTGAAAGGCCATGGCATGAGAGCCAACCATTGCGAAGCACCATGCGGCCGTGCATGGTGCCATGCAGGCAATGAGCTCGGACGTGCGCACAGCGCACAATGCCTTGACCCACCGCTACGCTGACCGGGAGGCCGCCTGATCCGTGCTGCATGCGGTCGTGCCACATGCCACCCATTGCGCTCCGCTGCACTGCAGTTGGTTCTCTTCGGCATGCTTGACCGCTGGTGGAAATCAACAACCCAGGTGCGCCGCGCGCTTACATTGCTGCCATGGGGAGTTGAGGTGTTACAAATGCACATGTGCTTTGACCGCAACGATTGCAGGCCACCCAGCCATTCCAAGCAGAGTGTATGCTTCTTTCAAAGGTCAGCGAGAGGCCCTGCCCGGTGCTTTTGGCCGCTGCCTTTCGGGCTGCGCTTGGCACTGCATATGTGCGTTCTTCATGTGCTTTGCGGACATACATATTGTGCACGTACACGCACACACACACACACACACACACAC